TTTACTTATACAAATAAATAAAAAATTTTTAGCAGGATAATATTCAAATACCTGAATATTACTCACAAATTACCTATAATATATGTCACTAATTCAAGTAATTTTCTATAACTTAACCCAACTTACCCATAATATATTAACTCAAAATAATTTTTATAAATCAATCATATTTATTATCTTTAAACATAATATAAAGTACTATTTATTATAAATTTGTTATATTAAATACAACTATAACATAAAGATTATAAATAATCTTACGAAGAAATTCTATAATAGAACAGTTTCTTTTATTATTAAGTATTATTACTATTTTTTTTAATTAAGGCTTTTTTTGCAGAATATGATTCATCACAAATGATATGTTCATCTTGAAAGTTTACCCTTTGCTATTCCTTCTGTAACTCTTCAATCATCTTATAAACACCTAAATGATTTTGACTAACCAAAATTTTCAAATACTAATGCTAAATTTCAATATTATTCTGTATTCATGAAATTTCCCTCTCATTTAAATTATATATTGATCACAATTGTAGTGAAAATAAAGAAGCTAAATGAATAACATTGTTATTTCAAAGATGTTGATATATTCTTTCATAAGCATAATTATCTTCAAATTATTGAATAACTTCATTTGCTTCTGAAGGAATTTCAAGCTTTAATATATTAAATGCCTCTGAAATTTCTTGTGGTGGTAAAAACGCTAATGCAAATAAATATCATAATATCAAATTAAATTACTTATCATCACTATATCTAGTAATAAGTCTGTATAATTAAAATTTTTGCTATTCTGACTAATATAATAGAAACATTCCTTATTTTTAACATTAGAAAATACATAATGTAATGCATTAATTGATGCTAACTCAAAATTGATTAGAATGATTGAAGGTTGCAAGGTAATATTTTTTCTATTGTAAAGTCAATTAATTCTTCAAACAAGCATTTATAGATTTCCTCTAATTTGCTTATTATTAATGAATAGACAAGTAGAATAATTTTTGAATTTTCATCACCAACAGGTATATGTATAATATATAATTTACAAAATATCATTAGAATAATCTTAAAAGTACCATTTATTAATCAAAATAAAGTCTGAAACAAACATTGAATATTTGCTTGTATAGCAAATAGTAAAATTTGATCATTACTAATTTTACTATCCCTTATTAAAAATGTATCACTATTTAAAGTTGAACAAAGAAAATTTAAAACAATAATTTCTTCAATAGTTTGCAGTTGAGCAAGTATTTCTTCTCTTTTAATATAGTTAATTCTTGCACGAAGGGTATTAAAAGATGGTATATAAGGTTGATACTCTTGCAACATACTTGAAGTGATATCTTAAATTATTTAAAAAGGTTTATCTTATGTTATATGAGCTTTCTGTTTGATTTATCCAATAATTTCTGTAAGTTTCGCATTACTAGACTGAAATAAGTAATTATGTTCAACAAATTTTTTAAGATAATAAGACTTTATTATTATATTCTTACAATTTTCAAATTTTTTTCACAACACCAATAATATGTATTCTTTAGTTTTTTTCTTGTATCATTAAGTAACCTCAAATATTTATTTTATTTTTTTCTTTTTGAGATGGAATAATTTTATTTATAATATATTTTTAAGAATAAAAAAACGTAAAATAAGTTTTTATCTTGATAATATTAATTAAAAATTATACTGATTACATATAATATATAATAATTAATTTTAATTATATTAAATTACTAATAAGAAAGTGATTATTTTCTTTTATATTATTTTATGTAATAAAACAAATCAGCTTATATTATTTAGTATTAAAATTTTATATAATATTATATGTAAATGATTTTTTGAGATTTTGTATCATTTAGCATTTTAGATTTTGAAATTTTGGAATTCGAAATTTTGAATCTTTTGGAATTCTAAATTTTAAGATTTTGGCCTTTCAAAATTTTAGATTTTGAGATTTTATAGCATACCCATTATTGTTACATATAATATTAATATATAAAAGTTTAACTAATATTATAATTCATATAATCTAATTTTAGATTGATTGATCACTACTAATAAGTTTAATAAATTATATATCACACTAAATTCTAAAAATATAAAAGTATAATCAATATAAATAAATAAGAAAATTTTTCATTATTTTCTAAACAAATTTTTTTCAATTCTTATGAAAAATTTTTTTTGATAATAAAGCATTAAATTTACATTTTGAAACCTATTTATATTACTAAAATATGAAATTTTTTTTTGTTTAAACTTAACAGTAAATACTAATTCTATTACATTTTTTTATTGTTACATTAATAATTATAAAACTAACTTTTTTGCAGTAATTAGTAAAATACAGAAAAAATATGTATTTAGTAGATATTTTTTTAATTTTTGATGAAAAATTAAATTAGTAAAATAACTTTGCTATTTATATGAATTGTATTTGAGTATTGAGATTTGATAAAGATTAGAAGCAAAAATTTATAAATAAAAAATAATGTATTTTAAAATTAGTACATATTCTGCTGAAAAGAATACTGAAGAAGAAATCACAAATATTATTAATGAAACATTAAATCATAAATAAAAAAAAATAAGCAATAATATGTAATAAATGAGATATTTGATAATAAAACAGAAGAATTTAATAAGTTTAAAACCTCAAATCTCAACAACTTTTTTTATAAATCTTTATTTATTACAATAATAAAATATCATACAATTGAAAATTTTAATACTTCTAATACATCATATCAAGGTTTTAGTTTACTTGATAATTATATGTATCATAAATTAAAATCAGAATAGTTTAATACATTTGAGCATTTAGTATTAAATATAATAATAACATGTGATTTACCATTTAATTGGATCAAAAATTCTGCAGCCATTTCCTTATTTAAGTGAATTAATCCTATACTTTCTTCACTAAATCAAAAGTAATTAAGTGGTCACATTCTTGAAAAAATACAAATAAGACAACAGAAAATATTTTTAAAAAAGCAGTAAATAATAAATTTAGTGTAATGCTAATATTTGATAGTTAGAAAAATGTTTCAAAACAAAATTTGTTATATTTAATATTATTTATATCATTTATAATATGATTATTTGAAAAGTAGAAGATATAGGACCTTTGTAATAGAAAGGAGGAAAACTGCCAAGAAAAATCAAATTTACTTTTATATGTCAAATATGATTTTTAGGCTAAAATATGTTTAAATTTAGCATCAACTAATTTTTTATTTTCTAGCAGTTTTCTTCTTTCTATTACAAAGGTCTTATATGAGTGATAAATTATATATATAAAAAATTATTATAATAAAACTATAAATTTTTTGAATAATTAGAGTAACAAAACATATAAATAAATGGATTAATTATAGATTCCGTATTAGAAAATATAACAGAAAGATAATTATAATAATTTTATTAAATTATAATTTTTAATTTTAATGTATTAATTTAATTAACTTAATATAATTAATTAGAAAATAATTATATCTTAAATTTTAGAATAAACTATTTTTATCCTGTTTACTTATCAAGTAAATTTATATATTGAGGATATATTTAAGGAATCATTAAGTTTAAATAATATTGCAAAAGAAGTTATTGTGATTATCAACTTTTTTAGTTATTCAAAAAAATTTGGCTTAGATGTTTTCAAATTGAATAAATAAACACACATTTCTTTAGTTTCTCCTATTATAACATAATGAAATTCCTATTACTATTATTTTATAAGTTTATTAAAGACAAAAGGTATTTTACAAATAAGTTTTTAAATTAAATTATTATTTTATTATTATTTATTGATTTTAAAAACTAAAAGATATTTTAATTTAGAATTTAGCTATTAAAGTCTAATTTTAGATGAATATGATTTTCTAAATAAGTATTTTAATTATATTTTTAATAATAATTAGTAGTATCAAATTATAAAGATCAAAGAGGTTTTAATTCCATATTATTCAACATTAAATAAAATTTAAAAATATAATATAAAGTACTTTATGGATTTGCAAGTATCATAAAAGTTTTAAAAGTTCTAATGATCAAGCTTTAAGGTAATATTCTTTTAAAAAAACTTGAAAATCAATAGAATCAATGAGAACAACCATTTATTCTATTAGCATTTTTACTTTATTTATTATATTATGATTTAAAATTTAATTTAAATGCATCAAATTTATTTTTTTCTCATTTAAACAAATGGATATATATTACTATTGTGCTTGATCCAGTTATTTTATTATTAAAATAAGAAGATTATCATGCAAAAAAATATTCATCAAATATTTGGTAATGATGAATTTATAATCAGATACTGAAAAAGAAAATGATGATGAAAGTGATATTTTAAATAATTCTTTAACTAGTAATATAAAAATAACTGATAATTGGTGAAATATGATAGCAAGTTAGATTGAACTTATTGAAGATGAAGTTCAAGATTCAGAAATAGAAGAAACAAATATAGTTGAAAATTATAATATTATTATAGCTAATATTTCTAAAATAACATATTCTGTAAATGATATACAAGCAAAATGGATCTTATGTAATATATAGGAGCTTTGCAATAGAAAGGGAGGAAACTCTAAAAAAATTAAAATTTTACTTTCTAAGCTAATTATGATTTTTTTTGTAAAATAAATTCAGATTTAACATTAACAAAAAAAAATTTTTTTAGAGTTTCCTCCCTTTCTATTGCAAAGCTCTCATATTTACAAATAATTTAGAATTTTCTAGTTATTTAGAAAGTTTTATAGCAGGAGAAAATTAATAAATAAAATAATATTTTGATACAGTATATTTTTTGACATATCACGTGATTTTTGTGCATTTTTATTGGTTAATAAAATAAAAATTAAGTTGTATAGATGCTACACAGAAAAAAATTTTGAAAATGCCGATCATTTCGATCAAAAAAAAATATAAATATTCGATATTATATAGACTTTTCCGTTAAAATTTGAAATTAGTTGTACATGCCAATGGAAAAAAAATCTACGAAAGATATGAAAGAAATGACAAAAGCGGAACGTCGAGCAGTTCAGGAACGTCAGCGCGCAGAAAAAGCTGCACGCACCGTTGGAGGAACAACTACAAAGAAGGGCTCGCAAGGCTCTGCGACGAGTGTAGTCGATAATACCTCGATTTTTACACATCAAGAATATTCATTTACACCTAGTGATTCTAAGCATAAAGAAAAGCAACAAAAAGAATCAAAAAAAGAAAGCAGTAAACAAGTTGCACTGTTTTCTCATTTAGAAATCGCAAAAGGTGCTAATACAAGTTTAGATATTCATCCCGCAGTTTTAGTTATAGGATTACAATTTGCCGAATTTAAAATTTGTGGAGCCAATGCCCGCTGTATTGCTACTCTAACAGCTTTTAAAAAGGTTTTGATAAATTATTAAATTTGAATGTTGTATCTTGTATCTTGTTATGTTAAAACATTAAGGCAACTTATTTAATTTCATTTCACAGGTAATTCAAGATTACAAAACACCGGAAGGGACCACTTTGTCCCGCCATTTGCCCACTCATCTATCTCCTCAGATAAAATATCTGGTAAATTCAAGACCTATGTCAGTTGGCATGGGTAATGCAATTCGTCACCTTAAATTGGAAATATCTACAATGGATATTGATTTGGCGGATGATGATGTATGATTTCTACGTATATTATATTAATCGCGTAATTCTTGAAATTATTCATTATTAAAGTGAATTCTTTTTTTAAAAAAACTTATAGGCAAAGCGTTTATTATGTGAAAAAATTGACAACTTCATTCGCGATCGTATTACGTTTGCAGATCGTGTCATAGTTGATTATGGCTTACAGAAAATACAGGATGGAGATGTGATATTAACATATGCTAGGTGCATTTAATTTCTTATATAACTTTTTGAATTCATATACTGGTAGCTAGTTCTAAAAAAGAATTTGATAAATATTAAGATCATCAGTTGTACAGGCATTGTTATTAGAAGCACGCGCAAAAGGGATACGATTCAAAGTTATCGTTGTTGATTCAAGGCCAAGACTTGAAGGTAATTAATTCGTAATCCGCCGATCATGTTAGACAATCTATAATTGATCCCCAGTTATTCTAATAAATGGTAATTTCAATCATATCTTACTAATGAAAATTTGTATTTATTAACCAAATCCCATGAATGAATTATTATATAAAATATTTTTGCTTTGATAGTTTCATTCTGCAATTTTCTTTGAGGCATCTCTGGATTCCGGAATTAATAATAACCTTATATTGATTACTAAACATGATTGGCGGAGTGTGGAATTTTATATATCTATATTCTTTATCAAAAACATGAGCATTTAATAACTTTCTTCATAAATTTCAAGGTAAAAGACTTTTGAGGCGTCTTGTAGATGCTGGGATTAGTTGCACATATGCATTTCTTCATGCAGTTGGGTTTGCGTTAAAAGATGTTTCAAAAGTTTTTCTGGGTGCACATGCTTTCATGTCAAATGGCGCGCTTTATTCGCGTGTTGGTACCGCGATGGTAGCAATGATGGCAAAGGAAAAAAATATTCCTGTAATCGTATGTTGTGAGACATATAAGTTCACGGAAAGGGTTCAACTGGATTCATTCGTTATGAATGAACAAGGTATGTGAAAAAATTTGAACTTAACACTAATGTTATTCCGGTTCTTTTTTTTTTCCTGAGTTATAACTTTATTTTATTTATAGGAAATCCCGAAGAAATGGTAAATGTTTCTACAACTTCAACTCCAAAGGCTGGATTGTTGGATGGATGGCTTCATAAACCGGATTTAAAACTTTTAAATTTGTTGTATGATCTGACTCCTTCAAAGTATATTACAACTGTAATTACAGAAGTTGGCATGATTCCATGTACCAGCGTTCCTGTGGTAAGAATAATTTCTTACGTACTTATTTATGTAACTTTGTTTAAAAAAAGTTTTCTTAATAAATTCTATATATACACACTTGAAGATACTAAGAGAATACAAGTAAGCATAAATTGTACAATCTGATATTTATTACGTTCTTATATAAACTAATTTGTTTTGTTTTATCAAGGCCAATGTTATAATAAATAGCGTCACTCGTTGGAATAATATATTGTAAATGTTTTATTATTATAACTTGTAAATTAAATTTATGTTTGACTTTAATTTATATATGTCGATCTTTTCATATCGTGATTTCAATTGATTTAATCTTTTTCATGTTTGAGAAGACATTAGTTAAGAAGTTTACCTGATGTATTATTCTGATCATTACCTGAAGAAATATTTTCTTAGTCAGAATAGGCGATAATAGAGTCATCTTGATTATTGGTTAATTCGGTGTCAGGATTCTGATAGAAATAATCAATAAAATCTGATCAATTCCTATTTTTTTTTGAAAAACTCATAAGTCTGCTTGTATAATGCTTCTCGTTTATTACCAGGAGGAAGAAGTTTAATAAAATTGTCATAAAGCTTCTTTTCTCGCCAACTTTATACTCGATCGTAAACTCTATGATTTTTTTTCTTTTGATTAGCTTGAATTGCTTCATCTTTCGCATCCCATGCTTCTTGGTTAAGCAGGCTAGATTTTGTAATATACAGTATTTCGGGAATAATCCAAAACAGTACAATATTCTCTACTTCCCTCTTCTTATGCGATTGAGATTTTTTGTCCTGAATTGTAGAAGATAAGTCCTGGATAGCTGATTCACGCAATAGTTCGTTTCCCTCCACCTGATCTTATTTTCTTATGCACCTCATCCAAGAAAGTATCCGTCTCTCTTTTCATTGACTTGATGTCTGCACTATCACTAAGCGCTTCATTATTGAGCCGGTCTATTACAGGATTAGGTATATTGAAGCATCTGGCCTGATACCTCTGATATCCCTTCTTTGGGAGAAAGTTCTCCAACAGAGCACGTGTTCTGCACGTTAGTAACATACCGACTCAATACATGTAAATAATTAATTGTAAAATGTGATACCGGAGGTATCTACCCTTATATAGCTTATTTAGTAAAAAAACGTAGCCGGAAATCAACTAATACAAATAATAAAATTTGCAAAATATGCTAAGCGCCTACGGCCATCGTTATTATATGATAAAATGATCCTATTTATATTAAGGAGTATCACCTCCACCATCACTACCCTTTTTATGGTCTTTCAAAAGATCGATATTTTCAAATGAAACCTCACATAAAGAGCACCATTTTTCTTTACCTGGATTTGTTATAAAACTAGTAAGGCTAATGAAAATTACATTAGATTTGTAAGTTATTGATTGTTAAAACGTTTATCTTGAACAATAACGTAAATTTTATTATTACTTATATCATTATTCTTTAAAAAATCATTAATCTTAAACAATACACGCTATGCTTCATATATTTCATTTTGTCCTAGCACACTTTCAACTGATTTCATCTTGGCGGAGTTATAAAACCCCGATGATATCGATATTCTGAAATGAATCCTGCAATTCTTCTTTGATTTTATCTTTAAACCTAAGAATATTTTTATTCCTATTAATAGTAATATCAAAAATAGCCTCAGTAAATTCTTTTACAATGCAACTAAGAGTAATTTCGCTCATTTCTTCATATATAATAAATAGGAAGGCCCATATTTTAGTAGAAGTATTTATAATTCGACAAACAGTTACTAACATTTTCCATAAATAATCAAATTTCCTCTCATAGATGTCATGTATAAAGTAATTAAGGGATAAATATGGTAGGTTTTCATATACTCAATTAAGTTTTATTAAATTTCAGATTTAAAAAAAATTCATTTTAAAGATTTTGAAATAATTTCTCAATTTTTAAGCTACACATTAAAATAGGTTTTGAATAGTATTATTACTATTAACATATAGAAAAGGAGAAATTATAATTTTTCCTTAAAATATTACTTTTTACTAGAACAACTAGTACAATTAGGACATAATGAATAAAAACAAGTTAAAATAGAAAAAGAAAAAAATTTCTTATATCAAATCCCATCCTAGTTCCTATCCTAGTTTACTAAAATGTCTTAAGTTACTAAAAAGAATTTTCTAACATATTTGAAAAATCTTTAGCAAAAAATAATATGAAAGATCCTGCTAAAACGTCTTTCAAGAATCAAGAATAAAAGAGATTTTAAATGTGAAACAGTAGAAGGAATATGTTTACTAACTGATAGCATTTTTTAGGAATGCTTAAAATAGTATACTTATTATCAGGTTTGGAAATTTTATATATACTAGATAAATTTAACTAAAAATGATATAATTAATTTCAAATTTACAATATAAGCTAAAATTAGTTGCAATATATATAGGTTAAAACTAATTACAATGTATGTTATAATATTAAAAATTACAACATATTAATTATGATTCTCATCTTTAAATTTAATACTGTAATTATATTATACGTGTACTAATTTTTATATTAATTATTATATGTACTAACTGTATTAATTATACTAATCATTGTACTAATACTGTACTTCTCAATCCTGCTTATTATCTTAACTCAGATTAAACTATTATCAGATCTCGAAAGTGATAAAAAGGTAATGAGGAAATGCTAAAATTCAAGGTGAAGTAAATCAACAATAATTTTAGCTAATAATATTCCATAATTTTGATCAGAATTTTAGATGCAATAATTTAATATCCAAACTAGCATAAAAGTGATCTATATCTAGCGAATTAATAAAATCATTCTAGTTTATTAGCTTCATGATGCTACCATGATGCTGAATTGGATTCTCAAATTATGTGTTCTAAAAATTAGCCAAATTATGGTATAAGTTTGTCAAAATTAACTGAATTGAATAATAAATTTATTGCATCATCTGACACAATTCTTTTATTATAATTTGATATTTTAACAGGCAATTAAATAGACGTAAAGGGTAAGCATCTCAGTATAGTATCAAAAACCTATTCAGGTGTAAAAGGCTAGCATTCTTAACATAAAACTAAGAATTCAAACTGTTACAAAATCTTAATAATCGCAATATAGAATTTGACATATAAACGACTCAGAAACAAAAAGAAAAGCATAATATTTAGATTATATGTGTATGTGGTAATTAGATTATATTATAGTAATAAAACCATATCAATATAAAAATATAAATAGCAGGAAAGACCTAAAGACATAACTAGAATAAAAAAAATACATAATATAGGAAAGTGAATAAATAAATTATATATGGTATTTAGATTATAAGTTATAGATTATATGTGATATTCAAATTATATACTTTAGATTATATGTAATATTCAGATCACATGTGGTACTATAATCTAAAACGAATAGGATACTACATATAATATAATTTATATTATATGTAATATCCTACTAATATCAATTTTAGTATTCAGAAATTTTTAGCTAGGATTTATATAATTTAAATATTTATATATTTTCATTTACATAATTTTCTTAACATTGTAACCCAAATGATCTTTAGAAAATTAGAAATGTGACGCAGTAAAGTGATCTGCAAATGATCATCATGTGAATTGATCTACAAGAATCAATGACA